CTGCTCCCCACTCTGTCTCTGGTGAAGCCTCTCACCGCCCCTGAGCCTCTGGCCTGTACCCCAGTTCTGTATACATAAATAAATAAACCTTTAAAAAATGCATAAAACTGTTTAAAGCAAAATTTTGTGACATTTTTGTGGGTTTATACTTAATGTAGAGGCAATTCAAGTAATTGTAGCATAAAGAATATCAAATTCAGTAGAAAAATTACAGATATTAATTATTAAGTATCAGAAAAATGTCATAATTTTGTACCAATTAGGAAACTATAACATAATGTGATTTTGGTTTTTTTTTGGTCCATCAGATTTGAACAGTTAAAAAGACTGGATATTTTAGAGCAGGCATATTAGAATGCTAATGGGCATTGTTGGTAAGGTTATGAATGGGTGTATCTAGACGACAGTACCTATCAGAATGTAAAATGCATAACATTTTGATCCAGCAGTTTTTTTTTAAATGCAAAAAAATAATGGTAATAGTGAGCCAGGGTTTATGTTAAATTTTATGCAGTTCAGGGCAGCATTGTTAATTGAATTGGTAGAAAAAGTTAAATGTTGGTAGGATATATTTTGTTATGCTCTTCAACTATTACAAAGAATGGCAAGTCAAGGGCCCTCCCTGGTGGCACAGCTGGTTAAAGCACAGCATTATGAAGCTCTCCACAGCCACTGCAGTACATCCCCTACCAGGGAGCTGACCCACATGACATGGCAGGCCTCTCCTGACCTGCCAGCTGCTTCCCTTACCAATGTATTTAGTACATTTGCCTGTTCTGCTCCCCACTCTGTCTCTGGTGAATCCTCTCACACCCTCATACTCCTGGCCTGTAACCCAGTTCTTATATACATAAATGAATAGATCTTAAAAAAAAAAAAGAATGACAAGTCAGTTAGTAAAAAGGGTATTTAATGTATTTAACAAATAAATGTATTTGTTAAAAATGCATTGAAAAACAAATATTTTCAAAGACAGTTTCACACAGTTTTAACAGTTAAATAAGAAGTATTACATTGCATGGTCAATGGGTAGATTTTGTTTTGTACTCTATACTCTGTGTCATTTGAATTGAAAACTTGCAGTTTACTGCTTGTGTATGCTTTCAAGACAATTAAAAGTTAATGTTTTCCTTTAAGGAAAGCATTGTACAGAAAGCAGAATTACTTTTTAAAAAGGGAGCAGAGAATTGAATGAAATGGCATTTTAAGAGGGAAATTAAAATACTTGACCATTTCTCAGTAGAAATAAATTTTAGGTTGTTTTGTCTCTCAATATATTTTACTTCCCAGTAGATGCCATCACATTATGATAAAGTAAACATGAATTATTTTAAGGCAGTTAAAGATAGTCTTATCTCAAGCTATGCACATGAAAACTTTTTAAGGAAAAACTGGCTGTTTGTTCTGCCCAAACATCAGTAAATTTGTAAGTAAATTCTTTAATAACAAAAGCCATGTTTGAACTATCTTCATGATCTTTCATAACTTCAGGTGCCACTTTTACTGATGAGAAGATTTATTCCTGGAACTATGTTTTTCAGATCAGGAAAAGCTCTGGGCAGTGTTTTCACTAAATGAAAACTCAGAGTGAAAATGCTGTATAAAAAATGTCTATGGAGTGTGATCAGACTTCTTTCTGTAAGTTCATTATCTTTTCCTGCTTCAGAATTTTGTTTTCTTAATTGAGTTTAGTTGAACTGTTTGCCTGTAATCCTTCTGGAGATAGGAACCTAGCTGTGAGACTACTGTCACATTTCAAGAGTGAGAGGAAAGGGTTATAAGTGTGATTGTGTTTTTCAGTCTACATGCCTGACTTGTGAACAGTGACAGTGCCTCTTTCCCATCAAAATACTGTACCAAGACCTTATGACCTAAATCTACAGATTCCAGCAAGAGACAGATGGTTCCCACGGCCAGAGAGTATAACGATCATTTGTGCAACTTCTAATGTGCAGATTCCCAGGTGTTACCCAGTTCTATTAAATGGAAATCTCTGAATGAAGGCCCTGGGAACTTGCATTTAAAAAAAAAACTTTTTTTTTAAATTTATTCATATAAGAACTGAGGTATAGGCCAGAGGTTCAGGGATGAGAATTCAGGCTCCGCTATTTGTATTTTTCTGTTTCTGTTGACCTTACTGTATATGAATAAAACACTACGTAGTTTCTACCACTTGCTTAGTTTATCCATCCTAGTTTATGATCTAGTACTGAGTAAATTATCATAGAATATGATAGTAAACCTAGTAGAACTGTAAGATAAGCCAAAACCAGTATATCTTTAATTCCTGAATCCTGTTAACTTGTATTCTCATGGGTGGAGAGTGATTTACTGTTGGGAGGCAGTATATTAAAAGCAACTTTCTGGCCCTCCCTGGTGGCATAGCGGGTTAAAGCACTGCACTAAGAAGCTGAAACCACTTCCAAATAAATGAGTTCGATTGCCGCCTGCCCCAGAGGTGACCACATGGTGTGGCAGACCTCTCCTGACCCACCTGCTGCTCCCCTCAGCAGTGTACTTCGTCGACCTGCCTGTTCTGCTCCCATTCTGTCTCTGGTGAAGTCTTTCTCCACCCCTGTCTCTGGCCTGTACCCCAGTTCTGTATGCACAAATAAATAAATCTTTTTTTTTTTTAAAGTAACTTTCTACTCAACAATCCTAGTCAGGTTTGGATATTCCCCTTCCCAAGTGTATAATTACCTGAAAAAAATGGCCCGTGGTCCCTCAGAGGAATGGAAAATTACTACGGCATATAATTCCCCAAGGATTGCTGGGTTCTTCCACATGGGGATTCAGTCTCTTCTTGAGTTCAAACGGGGTTATGGTACAATTCTTCAGGGAAGAACACAGCGAAAGGAACACTTTCTGACTGGCCTCCCCACATGGTCCTAGTGCAGTGTGAA